TTATTTAAATTTATACGATAACCACTAAAGCTGGGATGATGAAATTGAAGAATTCTACCATTTTCTTCAGTCTGAAATTGATCAAACTGCAATCAAGATGTATTAATAATTGCTGGTGATTGGAATGCAAAGGTTGGAAACAAAGAGGAAGAGCTGGTAGTTAAGTTGGAAAATAATGGCCTTGGTGGTAGATGATGCTAGAGATCACATGATAGAATTTTGTAAGACCAATGACTTATTGCAAATACCTTTTTCAAACAACACAAAAGGTGATCATATACACATGGACCTCACCAGATGGAATACACAGGAATTGACTATATCTGTGAGAAGAGATTGTTGAAAAGTTCCAAATCATCAGCCAAAACAAGGCCAGGGGCAGACTTTGGAACAGATCATCAATTGCTCATATGCAAGTTCAGTCTGAAACTAAAGAAAATTGAAACCAGTCCACAAGAGGCAAAATATAACCTTGGACATGTCCCACCTGAATTTAGAGACCCTCTCAAGAATAAATTTGATGCATCAGACACTAGTGACCGAAGACCAGAAATGCTGTGGGATGTCATCAGAAACACACAGGAAGAAAGCAAAAGGTCTTTAAGAAGAGAAGAAAGAAGGAAAAAACCAAAATGAATGTCAGAAGAGACTTTGAAACTTGCTCACCAGAGTACAGACGTTAAAGTAAATGGAAGAATTAAGGAGGCTGAACAGAACATTTCAAAGGGCAGCTCAAGAAGACAAAATCAAGTATTATAAAGAAATGTGCAAAGAACTGGAGTTAGAAAACCAAAAAGGAAACATGCTCGGCATTTCTCAAGTTGTACTGAAAACAAGTCACAAGTTGCACTATTGAAGGATTCTATGGGCAAAATGATACATGATGCAGAAAGCATCCAAAGAGGATGGAAAGAATGATACAGAGTTACGGTACCAAAAAGAAATAGTTGATGTTCAGCCATTTCAAGAGGTAGCATATAATAAAGAATAGATGGTACTGAAAGAAAAAGTCCAAGCTGCACTGAAGGCATTGGCAAACAAACAAACTAAACAAAACAAAACAAAAAACATGGCTCCAGGAATCGACAGAATACGAATTGAAATCTTTCAACAAACTGATGCAGTACGGGAAGAACTCATTCATCTATGCTAAGAAATTTGGAACACAGCTACCTGGCCAACTGATTGGAAGAGATTCATATTTGAGTCCACTGCAAAGCAAGGTGACAAATGGAATGCAGAAATCATTGAACAATATCATTAATACCACATGCAAGTAAAATTTTCCTTAAGATAATTTTAAAATGGCTGCAAGAGTACATCAAGAAGAAACTGCCAGAAACTGAAGTTGTATTCAGACAAGGATGTGAAAGGAGGGATATCATTGCTGATGTCAGATGGATCTTGGCTGAAAGCAGAGAATACCAGAAAGACACTTACTTGTGCTTTATTGACTATGCAAAGGCTTTCAACTGTGTGGATCATGACAAGCTATAGATACCATGGCAAAGAATGGGTATTTCCGAACACTAGGTTGTACTCATGGGGAACCTGTTCATAGACCAAGAGGCAAGGGTTTGAAAGAACAAGGGGACATTGAATGGTTTAAAATCAGGAAAGGTGTGTGCCAGGAATGTGTTCTTTCACCATATTTATCCAATTTGTATGCGGAGCAAATAATCAGAGAAGCTGGACAATATGAAGTAGAACATGACATTAGGAATGGAGGAAGACTCATTTACAACCTGCGATATGCAGATGATACAACCTTTCTTGCTGAAAATGAAGAGGACTTAAACTACTGATAAAATTAAGGACTACAGCCTTCAGTATGGATTGCACCTCAATGTAAATAAAGCAAAAATTCTCACTACTGGACTAATAAAACATCATGAAAAATGGAGAAAAGATTGAAATGGTCAAAGACTTCATTTTGCTTGGATCTATAATCAACATTCATGTAACCAGCAGTCAAATCAAATGGCGTATTGCATTAGGCAAATCTGCTGCACAAGACCTCTTTAAAGTGTTCAAGAGCAAAGATATCAGTTTGAGGACTAAGGTGTGCCTGACCCAAACCATGGTCTTTTTAATTGCCTCATATGCGTGTGATATTTGGATCATGAATAAAGAAGAGTATAGAAGCATTGATGTATTTGAGTTATGGTGTTGGAGAAGAATATTGAAAGTATCATGGACCACCAGGACAACAAACTAATCTGTGTTGGAATAAGTACAGTCAGATACTCCTTAGAAGCCAAGAGACAAAGGCAAGACTTTGTCTCTCATACTTCAGACATATTCTCAGGAGGGACCAGTCCCTAGAGAAGAACATCACACTTGGCAAAGTGGAGGGTCAGCAAAGAAAGGCCCCCAATGAAGTAGATCAGCACACTGACAGCAGAGGTTGGCGCAGGACTTGGCAGCGTTTCATTCTGTTGTGCATAGGGTCACTATGAGTCAGAACTGACTTGTTGGCACCTAACAACATAATGCCAAGCTCAGGACCAGAAAGGTCCTACATGAGAAACCCATTGTCCTTCATAAGAATTCTGAATCCCCTAAACAAAGGGATGGAAGGTGTATTCAAAGTGCTTCCTGTGTTGATGATGCAGACAGGAAGGAAAACACCAAAGGTTCCCAATTCCCCAGGGCCTCAGTTTCCACAACTATATACCTTGGGGTTTATTGAGTATGTCTGAGGGGCCACCTAGCTCCGACATTTGGGAACAATGCTGTGCAGTGGGAGGGAGGGAGACTGGGATTTTTATTGCTGTGAAGCACAGATTATAAACTCTTAGGTGGGAGCAAGCACTGGGTCTTCTCTTGAATCCCACTGCACTTGGTAAGCCAACCAAGCGTTCTACTCCTGGTTCCCTCATCAGCTTCTTAGGCTGTTGGCTCCAGGGGCCCTTGGCTTTCAGCATCTGTTCTTCCCTGTCACCTGAGAGGTGTCCTGTCCCCAACTCTGAGAACCTTTGTGGATTTAGATGCTTCATAAAGACCTGTTGAGTTACACTGATGAGGAATTCTGGCTGTACCTGAGTGTCCAGTGCTGATGAGGAGCTGAAGGAGTAATCTACCATGTTTGTCCTTTTCAGGAGCAGTGGGAGAGGCAGCTGGGGGCAGGAGGAGAGGACCTGGAGTTCCAGCCTATTGGCTTGGCTTCTTGGGTTTGCCCAAAAAGGGGGGTGGGGGGGGTTGTGGATGCTCCTGGCTGTGTGGAACAGAATGACCTTTGATGTGGGGGTGAAGACTGGGATTTCTGGCCATTGAGGAATTGTGGGCTAGAGCCTACAGATGCCTCTTCTTCCATTTTTTATTATAACATTCAACCCAAAGAATGTGTTCTCCACTGAAACGATCTTCATGGAGGTTTGCTTGGGGAATTTCCTTACCTGCTTCTCAACCGGAAAAACTGTGGGTGGAAGTGAATCTATGTGTAATGATACACGTGTGTGCATGTGTGTGAGAGAGAGAAAGAGAGTGAGGCTCTGTTGTGAGTTCAGCGAGGCGCTGTGGGGTCTGTGGGGGTGTGTGTCGGGGGAGAGTTGAGATGAGGTTTGTCCCTGTGGGTGTTGGCTGCCGGCTGTGGGGAGGTGGATGTGTGGCTCAATGTGCACTGTGCAGTAAAGTAGTCAGTTGTGTGGATTTCTCAGGTGGGAGTAGAACTCCTTGACTCTTGGTGCACTTGAGGAGGGTATTCATAAGGGCAGGGGAGCAGGATGTTGCCCAAGGGCTTCCCCCCGCCCCCATACCCACTTTTCCAGTGCAGGGGCAGGACCTATTTATCCTTCCCAATATTTGGAATCTGTAACTCGCTATAGGAGGTATGTTTGTGTGCCTGCGGGGATGGGGGTGGAGAACAAGCGATGAAATGTGTTGGCGTGTTCAGGGAGGTCTCTGTCCCTAAAACCCTCCACTGTTTCAGATTCAAGCCTTTAACATCCTTGGGAGAAGGACACCTTCTCCTTCCCTTCAGGGGAAACAACCAGGCTTCTGATGTATGCTAGCTGGAGCAGCAAGGAAGCCAAGAGAGTTCCAAAGTTGGAAGGGCTAGAAGGGGATAGCTTTCCTACCTCTGAGGGGTTGCAGTCAAGGAAAATATGTGGGGCAGGTGGAGAAGGGGCTTCAACAGAGGGATAAGCAAAGTCTGAAGGGAATGAAGTAGGAAGGGTTACTAGGCCGAGTCCCCGCTTATGACAGTGAACCTACAGCTTTCAACTCCAGCTCTGGGATGCTCAAAAAGTAGCGGATCCAGACTCCGTACTGGCAGATGATCCACTCCTGATCTTCGCACATACTAATCCGCTTTCCCCTGCCTGCCGTGGAGTCGAGTTCGGAGCTGACGCCCTCGAGTCTCAATCCAGCAGAAAACCCGGCATGGATATTAACGCAGTTTGGAGCGGAGTCAAAGGGCACCTCGAAGGAGGTGGCCAGCTCGGCTGTCCAGCCTGGTGCGGGGCTGCGGCCTTCCAAGGCTCACAGGTTGGGCAGGCCGCGCAGTACACCCAGACCCGCAGGCTCGAGAAGCCCAAGTTGGGGCTGCGCTGCGCTCTCCGCGAGGGCTGCGGACGGGGCGCGGGGCGGTGGCGGTGCCCTCCGGGCGGCTCCGGGCAAGGCAGGCGCGGCCTGCAGTGCGGCGCGCGGCCGACAGCGGGCAGTAGCGGGCGCGGGCGGCGCCGGTGGGGCAGGGGCGAGCTCACACACGCGCTCGCACACACACATACACACGGCGTCGTACACACTCACACACGCTCCGGCGCGCACACGCGGCACGCAGGCCGGAGGGAGGCGGCTCGGCGCGGCTCGGAGGAGGCGGCGGCGTGCTCGGCGGGCGGGCGGCCCCCGCTCCCCGGCTCCGCACTAGGTGCAGCCGCGCGGCCCCCGCCCTCGGACCCGCCCCCGGGGGTCGCCCGGCCCCATGCCCTGCAGCGGCGGCGGAGCAGCGCGCGGCTGCCGGCGGCTCTGAGGAGCCCGGAGGGAGCCGGCGACGAGGAGACCATGTACCGGGACCCGGAGGCGGCCAGCCCAGGTAAGCGCGGCCCCGCACCGCTGGGGCGCCCCGAACCCGCGGGCAGGACGGCGGCAGCGCGGGGCGCCAGCTCCTAGCCCAGCCCCTGACTGCTGTCCGCGGAGCCGCACCGACTGCCCCTAGGGTCCTTCTAGCCTCGGGGGCGCGGACTGAAGCGGCAGCACCTCGGACGCCGGACCCCCGCAGTCTGGGCACTGCCAGGCTGGGTGCCCGGCGCTGGCTTCGCAGTGTCCCCGCAAGGACCTACCACCCCCCCACTCCAGCAGCCCAAGGACAACGTGTGTGGCGGAGCGAGGAGCCGCTGCCCCCGCGGGAGCAGGGCAGTGTCTTCGGAGGCGCCCCCCGGCTTCCCAGCACCAGTGTCTTGGGGGGTGCCAGAGAGGGGGCGACCCCAGGGTGAGGATCCCGGGCAGCTTTGGGCCAAGGTTGTAAGCACAGGGGAGCGGAGTGGCATCAGCGGTGCTAACTGTGACTTGAGAGGATGCCAGGGGATAAGTGGAGATCTGGTGCAGCAGCCGACAGGGGGGTCTTTGAAGGCCGGCCTGGAGGAGGTGGGTCCGCAGGAGCGTTGAGGCGGAGGGGAGGGGTACCTGAACTGAGGGACAGCAGAGGGTGGTGAGAGTAGGGGTGGTAGCGGAATGTGTTCCTAGGCTTGGGGAGGGGGAGAGCAAAGAACCCCAAACTCATTCCAGTCCTGTGGGGAGGGGTCAGACTCCCCTGCGATGCTCCCAGCCTGGGGAGTGGCCTGGAAGCCCATGAAACTAGAGAAGCTTTCCTCCTTAGGGAAATTGCTCTGCCATTTCCTCCTTGGCTCTCAGCACCTCCTCACCCTGTGCCCACCTGTAGGCAGGTCCCCTGCAGCTCCTTCCCAGGCTAAGTCTCAGCTCCCACCTGAGGTGCCCCACCCCAGGCCCAGCACCCTCATTCAGCCAGCTTCAGCATCAGGCTCTCAGCCTCTGGACACCCCAGCGCAATGAGGACCTCCTCCCAGAGGAAGAGCCTGGGGGCTTGTTGCTGTGGGTCTCCTGGGTGTAGAAGAGATGCTGGGGAGAGGGGACAGCACCAAAGACCCTCTACTAAGGGGGTCTAGAACCCCTCAAGCTCTTGAGGGCAGCCCAGTGGGTGCTGGCTTTTGCCTGCTTTTGCCCCAGCCCCACGTTGGCTCTCTCTCCTCTAGGGGCAGCCTCTGCCTATCCCTGCTTCTCCATTCTATTCTCACCCCCCGTCTGTGTTTGATTTCAGCCAGAGTTGGTTGAAGACCTATCAGGCCCAGGAATTGTATTAAACCGACTCCCACCCCTTTGCATGGGAGACTCAGCCCTTCTCTTTATGCCCTCATCTATCTGGACCGTGGTCAGTTATTCTGGCATCTTCCCCTAAGAGAACACTAGCTTTCAGCACTTGGACCCCTCTCAGAAGCCAATCACTTCTTTCAGAGACTAGATCTGGGGTGTAAGGAAAGAAGGGTTACAGCAAGGACACTGCCAAGCTGGCAGCACCCCCACACACACACACAAGGCTTACTTAGGATAGTGGCCTGGGGCCTTGCTCTTGTCCCCTCTCCCTCCCTCCTCTTTCCATCCACGCCTAGGCACATGACATCACCACTCCTGCAGGCACCTCTGCCCTCTCCACGGAGATCAACTTGATGTACTTGGCATCTTTTGGGCAAAGACCTGAGAGCCAGTGCTGCCCCAGGGGATGGCCATCCCTAGATTTTTTTTCTGTATCCCCCTCCTTAAATGGCCTCCTTGTCTGTCTGGGGTGGGGGATTGCCCTACCCACTCAGGTGCAAATGCATGGCCCACCTGTGTTCAGGGGCAGGGCAGCTCTGAGTGGAGAAGGGACTGGCTTCAGGTTTACATGTCTCTAGTGGGGGCACCTGACTGGGTGGATCATAAATAGATTAGACAAGGTAATTCTGCTCTTGATCCTAGACCCCCCATGGGGACCTCTGATTGGTCAGAGCCTCCTCTAATGCCCCGTTTGGCTTCTGTACCCCCTGGCATTTTTGCCCATCTCCTATGACCCCTATAGCTCAAGGCTAAAGCTCCCCATTCCTCAGCTCACCCCAGAACCACCCAAGTCCCCCTTCCCCTACTATTGATCCTCTGTTCTCAGTCCCCATTTGTGTCCCCCATTTCTGGCCCTCACCTCTCCTTTGACTGGCACCAGATGGGAATGAGAAATGCAAATTCGTTCCTGGGAGACTCCCTTCCCCTAGGTTCCCCTAGGAGCCAGTACCTTTGACTTCTGACCCCTTTATCCCTCTTCCAGGAACACCTGTAGTCCACCCCCTTCTTTGTTACCTCATGCTCTGCTCCCTCACACCCCTGGCTGGCTGCCTCCAAGGAGCCTCCAAGTTACTCCCTCCCTCACCCCACTCACTCTGCAGATCCCCACAGGGTACGGCAGACTACCAGCTAGGTGATGTGTACCTCCCTCCTCCACTTAGGCCCCTGGCCCCTGGCACTTCATTACTTCATCAATCATGGATGAAACAAGGGACTGTGGGAAAAAGACAGAACTGAATGAAGAATGTAAACCAGTCCCCGTTCCACACACACCAATGGCTCCTGCTCCAAAAACTACCAGCTTCCCCTAGCCATGCCTACAGCCTGTCCTGTGCTCGCTCCTGTAGACACATAGCCCATGTCCCTCAGCTCCCCGCTCTGGTCATCCTTCAGCTGGTCAGTCCAGGTCTCCTGTGTTCCTCAGCGGGCCTGTCCCGGGCCAGGCAGGGCCTCAGCAGGCCTGCAGGGGTCACCGTTGCAGTGGGCTGGCAGGACAACAGGCAGAAGGGAGGAGGGAGAGGTGACCTTGCGGTGAGCTGGTAAGAAGGCCAGGGAGGGACAGGCTGGGCCAGTGCAGCAGCGCTGAGAGAGGCCAGGTCCTAGTGTCGGCCTCCCTGCCCCCCAGCCCCCTGGGAGCCTCCTTCTGTCCCACCTGTTAGTGGGCTTTACCCCCTACAGCATCTCCACCTGGCAGGTCCGTTCCCAGAGTGGGGGGGGGGGCGGGGGAAGGTGGCGCAGAAGGACTTGGGTCTGAAGTCAGGAACAAGGGCCTCCACTTTCAAGGCATAAAGGTCCACATGATTATCCAGGCCAGACCAAGTCCCCTGAGCGCAAGTTAGGGGCAGAGCTAGTGGGGGGAGGGGGGAAGAGTTTGGGGTGCGACTGAGTGGGCAGAGGGTTCAGGGACAGACCACCAGGTATTGACTGTCAGCTTGACCATTCATTTCACTGACACTGGCCCCCGCTGGCTCTGCACAGGCTCTGCACAGTTTTCACAGGTCCAGACCCCATCACAGACCCCACCTCACCTGTTCCCCCCCCGCCCCGTACTGCACAGACCCAGGCCCCCCAACCTGCAGCCAGAGTCTGAGACTGAGAGCAAATGACCTGCCAACAGGGAAGAGTACCAGGGTCTGAGCAGGTTCGAAGCGGCCCAAGAGAGGACTTCTGGGGAGCTTGGGCCCAGCACCCCTCAGTGTATAGTCTTACTGTAGAGATAGGCACCTCCGGGCCCCACACTGCTAGTCAGTGGCCTGGTGGAAGCAAAGCTTGACTGACGGACTGAGGCTCAAGGACTAGGGTGGTGGGGAGGGAGAAAAGGGCCTAGAGCAGGCTAGAACAGGCCAGGTGAGGAGACAGCTAGATGGCAGGGGAATAGGTTTGTATCAGGTGACCCAAGACAGGCCCTGGACCCCTAGATCCTGCCCCTGACTGCCCCAGGCTGCAGCCTTTAGAGGCACTGAGGTCAAGAAAGAATGTGAATGGGGGTTGTTGCAAGATGTGTTAAGAGTAAAGAAAGAGGAGGTGGTGGAGGGATGGTTTCCCTTTGTTCCTCCCCCTCTCCCTCCCCCTCCCCCTCATTCCTGCCCACCCCCTACCCTCTCAGGGACTTTGAATCTTTATTGAATCTGATGGACCGTTTTCAATAACTGCTTTCCCCAAGGGAGTGAGACCAAGAACAGCAGGATGAGGAGCTGGTGAGGGGGAACCGGAAGGGGGCGGGGAGGGGGGCCAGGCATCTCGGAGGTTCTGAGGCTTCCTAGATAGGCATGGCAGCCCAAATGGTGCTGCTCCCCTGCTTCCTGGGCAAGTACTCAGCAGGTGGCACATTTGGTTGATCAGGTCAGCCTTCTAGGTCAGGACAGTCACTGGCCTGGCCAGGTGCCGGAGCCAGTCTATATGCCAGGCCCAACCCGGGTGCATGCCTATCTTGCCAGGGAACCCCAGCCTGTGGTGCCAGGTGAATGGTGCCAGTTTCATGAACACAGAGGTCCCTGACCTTCCAGGCGATAGGGGCAGCCCTGTTGGGCCCCATCCAAATTCTCTCTGGAGGGCAGGGCTCTGGTCTAACCCAGCAAATTCCTCAAGAGTGGAACCAAGTTGGCAATCAACATAGAACCTGTGGACGGGACTGGGCAGTGCCCAGAGTCTGCGCCTGGAATCCTGAGCCTGATTGATGGGAAGGCAGACTGGCACCTGGGGCCTGCTCTGGGAGGGTTGGAGGTGGGGAAGGGGGCTTAGCACCTCCACCCAGAAGGGTCCCTTGAAAGAGGTGTGTCACTGATGGGGTTGCTTGGAATGGGTATATTCATGACTGAGTGTGGGGGACTGCTGCGTGGTGCCTGGGGGAAGCACGGTGCTCCGAGTTGTATGTCTGTGCACCTACATGCGTGAGCGAGGCGGGGAGGGTGCGCAGCGCAGGCGGCAGCTGGACGGCCGTAATAGCTTTGCTCATCTGAGCACCGCACCCGCTGTAAACAGCAGCTAATGAGTATATTTGTAGCGAGGTGCGTCGAGGTGCGCTGGGAGCTGTGACGACAAGCGCTAAGGGAAGGATGCCTCCCTTGGGCCCCTGCCCCAGCCGGGGTAGAGCCTGTGCCCTCCAGGGACCCTGCCTGCCCCCTGCTCCGCCCTCCCACCTGCCGCCTCTGAAACCTCTTGCTGCTGGGACACACATCTAGGCACTTCCACAATGGTGTGTGCTTG